TTGCTTGTTACATACTCTGTCACCATGTCCTCTGTCCCCTCCCCCACGCCAGTGGGACTGTCTGTTCATTCATGCCTAGCAGTTAGACACACCATTGTTCTACCGTCCTCACATTCCAGTCACTTAACCTGCACTTTCAACCCTCTTTCTCCCCCAACACTCCACCCCCTCCCCACTATTGCATAAATGCTGCCCCCTCTACACTTCACGTCAGCTCTGATGAAGAGCCGTATGGACTCGAAACGTTAGTTTGCTGTCTCTCCATGGATGCTGCCTGACCCACTGTGATATCCAGCACTTTTTGTTTTCAGTACAGATTCCAGCACCTGCAAAATTTGCTACTCCTTTCAGCTATTGGTGGATTAGCCTTGACATTTCAGATCTCCGCATTTACGTGACGACTTTCATGTCTTCAATTACTTCAATGCCAACAAATAACATTCACAGTAAAGTGGTAATTTTGTAAACAGCAGTGAATCTGTGCAAACTAGGTCCCAGAAGCAGAAAACCCACTAATGATGAAATAAGCTATATTTAGTGACGTTCGTTGGGAGATAGATGTAGGCCAGGGCAGCAGGAAGAACTTGCTCTTCTTCACACATTGGCTTGGGATCTTCTTCATCCACATGAGAGGGGAGAAGGGGCTTTGGGTTCGTCCCTCATCTGAAGGCTGACAACACTCTGACCCTTCGTACTGCACTGGATCACTGGATTACTCACTGAACAAATCGCATAAGATCTGCAGTTCTCAACAACACTGCAGCAATAAAACTGAACTGTTCATCAGGGGCACAGAAATTCTACACAGTGATTGAATTGGGCCAAGGGAGGACGATATAGAGGCCCAGAGATGACCAGTCAGTCGCCTAAGAATGAAAGTATGATCCCAAAAAGAATCCCTGTCAGCCATTTTTTAAGAGATTCATTTATAATTTCCAACAAAAGTTCTGCCTGTCCCTCTAATGAATTAGTCATGTAAAAATTCCCATTATGGTCTCGCTGAAACATCAGTTTACTCAGGGATACTTCAATTCCTGAGGCCGAAAGTTTCTTGTCTTTGATTGGAGAAGTATTGGTCAGGACAACAGGTCTGACGGGACATTGTGTGTAATCCAGAGCCAGGGAGGTTGAATAACTTTTGGGGCGCATTGTTTTTAAATATCCAAAAAAAACTGGAGGCTTCTCACAGCTCGCACTGAAGCTGAGAAATGTGTGGGACAGCTGAAGGGGTTTGAGTCACTTGGTGGGACTGGCGAACGAAACTCACTTTCTTCTTTCAATGACCACCATTAGTGACTTTGCTTCATTGTTTTCTCCTATCCCAAAGGCAAGATCCTTTATTGGGAGAGGAGACCCCAGTCAACAAGTCTTCTCTTTTAAGTGTTGATGCATTGCTTCAAAATACTTTGAGATAACTGCAGAGAAACAAGCCATTCGGTCCATCTGATCAGTGCTAATGTTTTATGTTCCACACTGACCTCCTTTTACTTCATCCAACAGTACTAGTGTAACTTGCCTCCTTTCCCTCTCATGGGTTTATCTACTTTCCCCTGAAAAGCATCTATGTTGCTCACATCGACTACTTCTTGTAGTAACGAGATCTATATTCTAACCAGACTCTGGGTGACAACATTTCACATGAATTCCCACTGAGTTATTGGTAACAATATTGTCAGCCCCCATTTTTCAAATTCCCTACCAATGCAAACATTTCTTTGTCTACTTCATCGATATTATAAAGATCTCCTAATCAGGTCATCTCTCAATTTTGTCTTTTCTTAAGAAAAGAAACTCAATTTGATAGTTAGATCTACTCAGTTCTGATATCAACCATTGAAATCCTTTTCCCGCCATATAAATACTGTGGCTACAAGAGCAGGTCAGAGGCTAGGAATCCTGCAGTGAGTAACTCAATCTCTGATTCCCCAAAGCCTGCCCACCATCCGCAAGACATGAGTCAGGATTGGGAGGGAATACTCCCCACTTGCCTGGATGAATGTAACTTCAACAAAGCTCAAGAAGGTTGAGACTATCCAGGACAAAGCAGCCTGCTTGAATGGCCCCATATTCACCACCTTCATCATTTATTCCCTTCACTATTGAAGCACAGTAGCAGCAGTGTGTACCATCTACAAGACGGGGAGGCAATGGGCTAGCAGTATTATCACTGGACTGTTAATCCAGAGACCCAGATGATATTCTGGGGACCAGGGTTCAAATCCTGCCATGGCAGATGGTGGAATTTGAATTCAAAAAGTATCTGGAATTACGAATCCAATGATGACCATGAATCCATTATTGATTGTCGGAAAAACCCATCTGGTTCATTAATGTCCTTTAGGGAAGGAAACTGCCATCCTTACCTGGTCTGGCCTACATATGACTCTAGACCCACAGCAATGTGGTTGACTCTTAACTGCCCTCTGGGCAATTAGGGATGGGTGAAAAACGCTGCCTGGCCAGCGATGCCCTCATTCCGTGAATGAATAAAGGAAAAAAAAATGTAGTGCAGAAACTCACTAAGCTTCGTTTGACAGCAACTTCCAAACTCATAGCCTCTACACCCTAAGAGGACAGGGCAGCAACTGCATTCAAACATCACTTCCTATCTGCAAGTTCACCTCCAAGCCACTCACTATCCTGACACGGGAATGTATCCTTCACTGTCGCTGGTCAAAATCCTGGAAATCCTCTCTAATAACACTATGGGTATCCCTTCATCAGATGGACTTCAGGGGTCTAAGAAGGTAGGTCACCAACACATTCTCCAGGCCATTTAAGGATTGGCAATAAATGCTGGCCCAGCGACATCTATATCCCACCTATGAATAATAATAAAAAACTTCCCAACGCCTCAATATATTTTCTCATTAAACAGAGACCAAAACTGTACAAATGTGGTCTAACTAAGATTCTGATCAAGTTTATCGTAACTTCCCAGCTTCTCAATTGAGAAATGAACCCTTGCTGTTTGGTTTGTTTTTTTTTAAAATGACTTTGCTAACCTGATTCAATACTTTTAGTGATTAGTGTATCTGTGTCCTACTTCATGCCTTTCACCCATTTGCATGTGGGTTCTGAGGGTAAGTGATGGCAGGCTAGGCTATTGGCCAAGAAAGGCTTCCACAGAGAACCTTAAGCATACACATTCTGACAGTCACTTGCAAATGCACAGGGAGATAATGGCGAGGGGGGGTCAGTGGATGGATGAAAGAAAAAGAAGTGCACACAAGAAACAGGAACAGGAGTAGACCATTCAGCCTGTTGAGCCTGCTCCATCATTCTATCCCATTCTGGCTGCTCGTGGGCTTCAACTCCCACGTTCCTGCCCCCTTCCTGGATTCCTGAAAGACCAAAAATGTGTCTATCCAACCCTCAAATACTATCAACAGTGGGAAACGCACCAAGACTTTCATTTGTACATAAACTTTCACTCACTCAGGATGTGACAAAATGCTTTACAGCCACAAACAGCGGTAAGAATAGTGCTTACTGGGATTTTGTTTACATGAGAGGGAAAACTGACTCGACCCCTCCCTCGATCCTCCAGTTTGGTACTGGCCAGGTCACCTGCTATTCTTCAAGGTAGAGCATGTTATGGGATCCTTTACATCTACCTGAGAGGAGAGGTGTAGCCCAGTTTAATATCACATCTGAAACACAGCACCTCTGACAGTGCACATTGCCCTCGGAACGGCAGAGGAGTGTGATCTACAGCAGGAACCTCGGTTAATTTCCCAGCCCAGCGATGTTGAGGCTAATCGAAACGTCTTCACAACAGCTCCAAGAAACAACCGACTCAGTAACAACCAGCATCTGAACAATGAACCTTCCTGGTCCTTTTGGCTCTTAATTAACAAGAGATCACAGCCACACAAGTGAATCAGATGGTAAAATGTACCATCGAGGCCTTCAGTGTTTTTGTCTGATGACGCCTGCTATTTTCCTTACTGTCTAATTATCCTGACAGAGACCAGAAAATTAATAAAGGCTAGCTTATGGTGTAACTTTATGTTGAGAGATGATCTCCTCATTAATTAAGAAAGTTGTCAAATATCTCAGTCCAGTGTTCAGATCTGCTGCCTGAGCTGAGTTACTTAACCTCAGATTAGGCTTGTAGAATGCACGACCATATCAACCAGGGTTCACATAGATTGGTGTCTAGTCTGTGAGCAACTCCGCATGTTGAGAGGTTGAGTCAATATTGTCTGGTGTGTAGAAGAATGAGAGAGGGTCTCTCTGAGTGTCTGAAGAGGGTGGACACTAACAGGTTGCTACCCCGTGACTGCGGAATCTAGGCCATGGAGCCACAGTCTCAGAATAAGGTGATGATCCATTGGGACTGAGGGTGAGAAATTCCCTCAACCAAGACGTTGTGCGAATCTTTGAATTCAGAGGGTTGGGGAAGCTGCATCATAGCCTTAAATATGTTCCAAGACTGAATTTTGGTTTCACAGAGAGCAAAGGGATATGGGGAGCGAGTGGACATGAAGCTGAAGATCATACTGAATGGTGGAACAAGTTCAACAGGCTGAATGGCCTACTCCTGCTGCTATTTGATCTCTCATTGCTCCTCAACACTCTCCAGCGACTCTTGTTGGGAAGCGCGTGCCTTCGGACTGGGGTTGGACTAGGCTGTGATGCCTGCGGTGGAGGAATAGCCCACTCACACAGATACCAGAGGGTGGTGCCTGAGGAACCTAGTCTCAGCATGTGACAATGGCCCAGGAGGATGTTGGACTGGAAAAGACGGAAGGAAGGGAAGAAGATGAAGACGAAGACCTAGAGGGAGAGCAGAGAGGTAGTGAGGCAAAATCCTGCCCCTGTCTGCTTCTAAAAATAATGGTGGGGAGTTTTGCAGGGTGGTTTATTTTTCTTTATTTCCCCAAAACCCACCCCCTCAGTCCCCTGACGGTGTAAGAAGTGCTTAAAGTTTGTATTTTCTTTCTTGGATGACTCTTACCTCCCCGTATATTCACTTGTTTATTTCCTTCTCACAGGCCACTCACCAAAGCTCCTGCTCCTGCAGCCAGGAGAGCAGGATGGGTTGGGGCACAGACTCCTCCGCGATTGTCAGCAGCGCTGTTCCATCATCAGCCAGCAGAAGGCGCAAGCCAAGTGGTCCGAGTCCGACGATGTCAGTTTTTTCCCTCCTCCACCGGAGATGGAACGTCTCACTTCCAAGTGGTGCTCCATATAGCAGCCCACCTGAAAACTGACACACACAAGCACCAAATACTTAACCAGAATAATTAAAAAAAAAACACTCGCCCAACTGAGGCCGTCCGCTCTTGAGTGACGGGAAGCTCCAGGACTCGGAATTTTGGGACCTTTGTGTTTGGGGACTTGATCGCTCAACAACTTGAGTGACAGGGCTGCTGTCAGGACTTGTTGTATTAATTTGATCATACTGTTGGACATCACCGGTTCGGCTCCAGACTACCCCCCCCACCCACCCCTCCAACTTTCTCTCTTTCCCACTCAAAACAGGAGCCTCTCTCCACATTGGTCGCGCTTTTGTTTTTGCGATGTACCCTGTTCCCAGTTTTCATTTAAACAGGGAGGATAGTACCACCAGACTGCCCATTCTCCATCCGAGGATTTGCTCTGCATATGTGCTGTAGGGAGGAATTGAGAGTTGGGTCTTTTTTTTCCCATTAAGGAAATACTTTTTTTTGACGTAGACGCTCTATTCCCAAGCGGCTTCTCAACTCCCTGCTGCAGTGCATGTGCACATTGCTTTAAGTATTTGGAAGAAATGCGACCTAAATTGGGACGCTAAGACCAATGTGTAATATAGGTCCCCATGACCTTGTTTGGCGGAAAGGACATTTGTACAGTTTCCCCACTTTGTGCGCTATCACGCCCTGCCTCTGTTTGGTTCTGATCCACTTGTGACCACTGATGCACTTAATGGGTTGACCACCAACAGAATGGTGATGCCAACATCAATGGTGAATGGGACATGCGCTTCGAAAGGGTGTTGATTCAGAGCTCTACCCCTCCCCCATCCTCCCAGAAGGTGCATTGGTCTACACAGTGGGCTCACACCGTCAGGGCCGCAGTATTACCCTACAATCGAGGGCTTCTGGTCCAGGTTCTGCCACTCTAGGACACTGAGGCTCCTTCTTCAGAGCTGCTGCAGGAGATTGTTTTATTTAAATAAGATAAAGAGAGAAAAAAAAACTGGAACAAAATATTAAATGGTGTTTTTTCATTTAATGAGTGTTTTGGTTGAACTGATGGGACTAATTTGTAGCAAAGAAATACCTTTCACATTGCAGACCACAGCAGGAATTCTAAAGTAAGCTTTCTTGGGAGCTGTATCGTGATACTTATTCCTTTTAAAGCAGATTTGAAATTTTAAAAAATAAAGTCAAAAGCTGTTTTTTTTTTAATCTTTTAGTGTGGTTTATCCTTTGTTCACATGGAGGCAGTATAATGTTTCTTTTGTGAGATAAGGGGGTGTAGAGGGTTATGTTACTGGGTTAGTCATTCAATTAATCTGAGCGGCTGGGAATTTAAAGCTTGTCATTAGCAACTTGAGTTCATTCTTTATAAAATATCAGAAAAAAAGCAAGAAGTTACCAATAAAAGTGACCAAACAACATTCAGATTGTCATAAAAACCCAACTGTTTCAGTAATGCTCCAGAAAAGAAGATAATTTGCCTTCTGTATGTATTGTGGTTCACATGTGACTCCAGTCCTAAGCCCATTGTGGTTGACTCTAAACAGCCCTCTGAAGTGGCCTTTATTAAGTGGCTCACAGTGTCAGGTTGAGCATTATCAATGACATCTGAATCCTGATAGTGAACAAGAAAAGAGAACATGTCTTTCACTGCAAAACCCAAATGGCTAAAAACACAGAGACGATTGACACCAATGTACATTGATCCTGCACAAGGTTAAGGTTCTGTTTAAGAAACATAGGCTCGAGTTCCAGAACCATTCTAACCTGCTGACATCGAAGGACAGTGCTGCTGGGCACAGAAGATGTGAAAATTCCGACAGAAATCACATTTCCTCCAGTGAGGAAGTACATTCCCCGCTGCTAATGGGAAGCAGCTTTATATGAGTGTGTTTGTTGCCTTGTTGCTGTGAACTTTCTGGCTCGAAGCCTAAAGGGCCTTTCTTATGCAGGAAGCCAAGTGTTTTCGTTTGAAGCAGACAGGAAAGCCTTCCTGGCAAGCATAACCCCTCACTGGCATTTCTTTGGAACCCGTGAGGGATACAATAAATTGAAACTGTTCCCATTAACTCATCTCCAATGTCTTGTCGGCTTTGAAATCAGAAGGCAAAGCTTCACCTATGTGTCCACCAACATGTGTGCCCTCCAGCTTTCAGTAATCTCCGTCAACTCACACTGTCACTGTATGTGAGTGAGGGTTGGAGGTGGGGGGTGCAGCGGGATGGGATTTCTCGCGGTTCTTTTCCAGTTGGAACCCATGTGAGGCCCTGAATGGATGGTGGCATCATTTTGTACCAGCTGCTTGCGAGCAGTAGTTATTATGCGCCCAGCAAGCTAGTGAGCTGCATATTTACAATAGCACATGGTGAAGTATCAGAGCCGTAATCCAAGAGATGTCATTTTTTCACTGTTACCAGAGTCACTCGTCACGATGTTTCATTTTGTGACATAGGGCTTCTATTGCTTGAAGATACTTCAAAAATTCCAAAAATGTTCTTTATAGTAAGAGATTCAATAAAGTGTAAAAATGAAATAAATAACTTGTTGAAACAGCCTTGTAGGTTTTCTTCGATACATCCTCATGTCTTATAGTTAATTTACACTTGAAACTCTTCATCAGCCAGTCTAAGGGACAACATTTTCATGCAAAGGGTGGTGTGCGTGTGGAATGAGCTGCCAGAGGAAGTGATAGAGTCGGGTACAATTACAACATTGAAAAGGCATCTGGATGGGTATATGAATAGGAAGGGTATCGAGGCATATGGGCCAAATGCTGGCAAATGGGACTAGATTAATTTAGGATATCTGGTCGGCATGGACAAGTTGGACCGAAGGGTCTGTTTCTGTGCTGTATATCTCTATGACTCTATGAACTCTTTCTCTGTAAGCATCTAGCCCATGTTGAGGAAGTTTCTTAGGAGAAGGGATGCTATAAGTGAATAGTTCAGCACATTTGACAAAATGAATGGACTACATCATTCCAGATCATTCATTATAAAAGGAAAAGAATTAAGATGCAACAATCCAACCAGACAAACAATTGCGATGGCCTCTTATTGGTGCAGAAAGTCTTGGTCTGCTTTTACATTTGAGTCCAATAGAGTTTTGAATTCCTTTTTTTGAAACTTCATGGTGTGCCTGAAGGTCTTAGCTTGCTGTCCATCTTTATTTTAAGTGTAAGGTTAGCCCATTGATTTTATATTACAGGAATGTAGAGTCAATTCTGCTGACAAACCCTGTCTTTTCAGCTTTATTTAATGCTGACTCATTCTCCATTTCAGCGCCAGCACTCCTTCAGAGGTGACCATCAGAGATGTGGACATCTTTCCAGGCAAAAAGTGCTGCTTAGGACATTTTATAGACTTGACCAGAGTCGACTGGTCAGGTGACACTGTGGGCAGGTCTATGGTTATCCACTTTGGATCAGAGAAAGACAAATTAGCATCTTTCTGTAATGCTGAGAAGCTAGAAAGTGTGAGGAACAAAAACGTTTGGGCAGCCATGTATATTGTGGGAAATTGAGGATGGAAATAATCCAGCTCTTGGGTCTGGTTAGGAGAGTTCACTGAGTCATTGATAAAGTTAACAGTGAGCAGTTTATTGTACTAGTACAAGCTACATACACGTCACCAATACATGCCTGGCTCTTCTCGGGTCTTTGCCGTGTGATCTCTGACATCATCACAGTTGGTGTTCTTCACACTTGTACAGACATTAATCTTTTCGAACTCTTACACAATATCTCCCCTGAAGTCCTTTTCCTGAGTTATTATCCTACTGCAGTATAGACAGATCATTGAAAACTAGGGCAGCACAGTGACTCAGTGGTTAGCACTGTTGCCTCACCGTGCCAGGGAACCAGGTTCAATTCCACCCTCGGGTGACTGTCTGTATGGCACATTCTCCCTGTGTCTGTGTGGGTGCTCCATTTTCCTTCCACAGTCCAAAGATGTGCAGGCTAGGTGGATTGGCCATGGGAAACGTGGGGATTACAGGGATAGGGTAGGGGGATGGGTCTGGGTGGGATGTTCTTCAGAGGGTGGCTGTGGACCTAATGGGCTGAATGGCCTGTCTTCACACTGTAGGGATCCTGTGATTCTAGTGCACAGGTCAAATGTCTCAAAAGAACTGAGGGAATGTCAACCTCTGTATCAAGGGGATTGGAACTATCCAGTTAAAATGAAATGCTTCGCTTGTAAAGAACCTTATTAAGATTCCACCTGGAGTACCACACAGAGTCTGAGGCACTGTACTTTTTCACCCAAAACATGATGAGATCTGTAGCTCACTGTCCCGAAAGGCTGTGGATGCTGAGATAGTGAAACTTTGAAGCCTAAGCTCAATAGGCTTTTGATGGTTTAATGACATTCAAAAGGATATGAAGCAAAGGTGGGTAAATGGAGTTTAGGTACAGGTTAGCTAGGTTTTAACTGAATACAACTCATACGCTTCAACTTCAGATAAAGGCTCAATACTGCGGATGCTGGAAATCTGAAACGAAGCAGAAAGTGCTGGAGAAACTCAGCAGGTCTGGCAGCATCTGTGGAGAGAGGGTTCACATTTTGAGTCCAATATGATTTCTTTAGAGCACCTCAGTTCTGAGGAAGAGTAATTCTGGACTCGAAAAATTAATCCTGTTTCTGCTCCATAGATGCCGCCAGACCTGCCGAGTTTCTCTCGCATTCTCTATGTTCGTTTCATGCTTAATCCTGTCGCCTGACACTATCTAAGAGCCTTTTTAAATATGGAAAGAAATTAACCGAACATGTTTTTCATATCCTCTGAAAGCCCCAATATGCTTTACAGTACCTTGGAAGTGTAGTCACTCTTGCATTACCCAAATATGGCAGCCAATTTATGCACAGCAAGTTCTCACAAAAGAAAGGGAAATAAATGTTCAAATAATCTACCTTTGGTGGTTTTGGTTCAGGGATCACTGTTGTCCAAGACACTGGGGGAACTTTCTACTCTTTCTCTGACTTGTTACATACACCTGTCAATCCATTTCTGAAAGGAGGCTCCTCCGATAATACAACTTTAGAGGTGTCAGCTTGGATGATGTGATTAAGGACCTGGAGTCCCATTAGTGCAGCCATTAAGCCAAGCTTTAAGTTTGTGCCTATAGCTATGTGAGGGAGTGGGTTTCTCAATCTCACAACCATTTTTCTTTCATGGTACTCATTTTAAACTGGTTTAACAGGGATTCTGTCCACTTGTTCAGGTTTTCTGTGGAGTACAGGCATTCCCTTTCAACCCTGTCAGTACCCTTTGGTATTTTAAGCCTTGTTCCCTCACCTTGAGGTAATGCATCTGAGAGCTACTATTTGTTCTCTCCTCATTATTCAGTCCCCTCAACCCATCTATTGCCCAATTCGCTATAATAAATACTCGAATTTGTATAGCGTCCCTCACACAATTGGACACCTGGAAGTGCGTGATGGCCATTGAAGTACTTTTTGAAGTGAAATCACCATTGTAGTGTAGGAAAGCTGGCAACCAATTTGCACACAATCAGCTCCCGCAAACAGCAGTGTGTGAGGGATAGCTACTGGACAAGCATTAGCGATAACACCCAGGCTGTACTTTGAGATAGAGCCATGGGAATCTTTGTCATCCATCTGAGAAGGTAAGCAAGGCCACAATTTATTGTCTCATCCAGAAGACAGCACCTCCAACAACGCAGCACTCCCTCAGTGTGCAAGAGTGTCAGCCTTGATTTTTGACTTCAAATAAGATTTGAACCCACAACCTTCTGATTCAGAAGGTGAGAGTATTACCAACTGAGTCTTGACTGATGCCAATATACCCATTCTAAATTAGGAGACCAAATGTGAGGACTATGTCTGAGATTGGCAGGGTGTATAGCATTGGATGTTAAGCTGGGCCACTGTGCCCATTATCTACCTGCTGTTTCTGGTGTTTTTCCAGTGTCAGGTATTTAGGTCTGATCCACCCATCTTTGGCCAACCGAGACCACTTTGTGGCCATGTGAGTGTCTCCTGCTCCCACTGCTAGCATCTTCACAGTAGCACAGGCACCAATGTGTCAGGATGGCCCTGGCCTGTCTGACTGGCCCATTGAAGTTACTCCAACTCACTTCTTAGTAAGGTTTCCAATGCTGCTCCTTATGGCAGACTGTCTCCAGTTCCAGTAGTGTCCATCACTCCTGTAACTACAGTGGGAATACTTGAGGGCAGTTTGTTATGTTC